CCTCTTCCTCAGGGGAGAACCTGAAACCGATTCTGGGCCTCTGGTCTCCTGACCTTTCTGCCGGATCTGGAGAGGCGTCAAGCCCTCCACCGCCAGGTCTCCGAGGGCCTTTAGCTCGATGGGCAGCCCGTGGCAGTCCCAGCCTGGCACGTAGTGAACATGCCTGCCTCGCAGGACCTCAAAGCGATTGCGAATGTCTTTAAGGATCTGAAAACCGCAGAAAAACTTCAGAAAAAAAAATTTGTTCAAAAAGAAAATCTTCAGCTGGAGCAGGAAGACATTCTGCACACGCTCGCATTTTCCTTTATCGAGCTGGATTTCAGTCCACAGCATGTTTGTGAGGAGCAGACAGCTGAATGTGTAGGAGTACCTTATTCAGGGCGTGTCCCACGTGCGGGTCTCCGTTAGCGTAAGGAGGGCCATCATGAAGACAAAACTCCTTTTTTGCCTTACGATCTCTTTGCCATGCGTACAACTCTGAGAATCCGCATAACTATAAAGACACAAGTACCAGCTCATTATACATTTGTGTAGTTACTGAAATATATTAATGATATTGACACCAATACATACAGTAAACTGGTTAAATTTGCAGACCACACCAAGGTGGGTGGTGTAGCAGATACTAGTGCTGGGTATTGATTCAAATTTCAAGAATCGAATCGATTCCGATTCTCAATATTTAGAATCGATTATCACGATTCGATCCAATCTGTTCCGATCGGATCCGATATCGATTTGGGTCAGTGTTTTTTTTAGCTGTTACCTTAATTACATGACTGTGTAGTTGTGCAACATATTAATACTAGTATTATAATGACATTCAACGACAAATTAATGAAGTATTAATAGTTAAAGATTTTAAACTTGAACTGTAAATAGAAAATAAATAGAAAATATAAAGACGTTGCCTATTAACCCTCTGGAGTCGACGGCATTGTCGGCGATGCCGAGTATCTTTCTCGTGTATTTCAGTTCATAACTCGCTGAAATCTTATTATAGAAACATGAAAAAAAACGCTGACGAAATCCGTAATCAGTCGTCTTTTCAAAACGTCCATTGTCGGAAGTATCAAAGTTTTTAAAATTAGGTTAAATCGCATTAGCCGCATTAGCGCGTATTAAAAAATCGCATTAGCATGGTAATCAGATGAACAACGCAGCGGTGAAACGCGATCCAGATACATCCCCGTCAGCGCCATAAAAGGGGGGGGGGGACGTGGCCAGGTGTCAATGGCTTTCATACACATGACAGTTGCTACATAATCAATGAAAGTAGCCAGAAAGAGTGACATGAGTTCGGTTTTTCTTATTTATTTATCCAACTGAATGTTGCATCTACACCATTTAGTTACCTTCATGTAGCCAAGACTTTGCTGATCAGATATCTGGGATCAAAACAAACTGCCAGCATTGCTTACTATGTACTTTTATAATGTTTCTGCAAGTGTTCCAAACTGCATTTTGCAAATGTCTATACTTCGATGTCAAATTACAAACTTAACAAAAATCTGACATATTTACAAAGTACACTAAGATAAAGATGAGTTTAATGCAAAAACAAATATATAAGAAATAAACTTAATTCAAGGCAAATAAATTATGATATTGAATGAAATGTGTGACCATGGGGCGGCATGGTGGTGCAGTGGTTAGCACTGTTGCCTCACACCTCTGGGACCTGGGTTCGAGTCTTGGCCTGGGTCACTTGTGTGTGGAGTTTGCATTGTGGGGTTTCTAAGACATGCTGAGGCTAATTGGTGTTGCTAAATTGCCCTTAGGTGTGCATGCGTGAGTGTGCCCTGTGATGGGCTGCCCCCCACCCCCACTGTTGTTCCATGCCTCATGCCTGTTGCTTCTGGGATAGGAGGGTCCCAGGAGGATAAGTGGGTTGGACAATGGATGGATGGATGGATGTGTGACCATGCCACAGACTTTGAAAGTGTGTCCCCTAGACTGCAGTGGGAAAGCAAATTGCTTTACTTTTGTGAAGCTCATCTGTCTGTCTGTCCATTCTGAACCCACTTATGGGCATTAATATGTTGTTAATACTGTTTTCCCCAGTGAACTTTGTCATCACCTACTGTCGCGTCAGTGAATTCACAATGCGCGTGATTAAAATAATAATAAATAGATACTTTGATCCCCTTGGGGAAATTGCCTTGCTCAAGGAGCCACAGACATGCTGAGGCTGGGTTTGAACCAGTGACCTTCTGATTACAGGCACACAGGCTTAGCCCACTGAGCCACACACTGCCCTGTGTGAATTAAAGATATTAACTAACACCTAAGCCTCAAAATGCCCATCTGGACATTTTTTTCCTATTCTGGCTGTGAAAAGGGCAGAAAATGTTAAAGGGTAAAATCAATCTTTGGACGTGCGAATCGATCTTTAGGAATAATTATGAGAAATGATTAAGAATCAGAGAATCGATTTTATCGACACAGAACTAGCAGATACTAATCTAACAGCAGAGAGGCCACAACGGGATCTGGATTTAATTAGCGACTGGGCTGAGACAGCTGAGAGATGCAATTTAACACAGATAAATGTAAGGTAATCCATGCAGGGAGCAAAAATATAAAGTAAAGATATTTTATGGTTTCCACTGAAATAAAGGTAGCTGATTACGAGAAAGATCTCGGTGTGTATGTTGATGTTCATCAGTGGGGGGAAGCAATAAAAAAGGCCAATAGGATGTCGGGTTACATCTCTAGGTGTGTGGAGTTTAAGTCAAGGGAGGTGATGCTATGATTATATAATTCCTTGGTAAGACCCCACCTAGAATATTGTGGGCAGGTTTGGTCACCATACCTTAAGGAGGACATTTCTGCCTTGGAAATGTTCAATGTAGGGCTACGAGAATGATTCCTGGTCTTAGAGGAATGTCTTACGAGGAGAGATTAGCTGAGCTGAATGATCCAGGGCCGGTATGCATAAAACTTCCTAAGAATGGTCATAAGAATGGTCGTACACTTGGACTTAAGCAAACTTAGCAAAAAGCAGGACCTAAGAGCATTGTATAAAGCTGCTAAAAGTAACTTTCAGCAAAGTCTAAGCCCAATTCCATTTAAGTGTCATGAAATGAGGAATACAAATAAAATCCTGCCCCAAATACTGAGTTCACCAGGAGCTGCACGGTGAATATATTAGTGACATTAAACCGTTAATGTACAGCTTTATACAACATACCGTTCTGTGATCATACCTTGAATTGGTTGTACGAAAATCTACCTAGCACACCACCAATCAATTTCCACTAATAGATGCACATGTTGTATAAATTACTGTATGGGTCAAACGCAAAACTCATAGCAAGACATTGAATTCTAAAAGAAAACCAAACTGGACGACAAACAAAACGATTCTTTTGGCACAGTTGGTGCTTAAATGGAAGGAGGTAGTGCGAGGAAAGTTTGGCCAAGCTGTTACAAGTACGGAAAAAAAAAAAAACTTAGGAGGCTATTGCAAGCTCCGTAAATGCTGCGTCACCTCGGACAAGGCGTTTAGCAGAGGAATGTGAAAAAGGTGGTAATGTTGTATCGACTTCGCGAAAGGAAATCACAGTTTATAAAGCAAGCATGCAAGCTACACGTTAGTGTCATTACTTATATTGCTCTTACGACCCTCGCTATAATAGATGATGATTATTATTATTATTATTATTATATATTTCCAGTTGCCAAAAACGTAGCATCATTATCACTTTCAGTTCAACTGTAAGTGCATTTTTAGGTGACGTAGGAGACTGCATCCGGTTCCTAACTAGGTTGGTAACAAAAAGAATGGCCTCATGATCGAGCCTGTACCTTTTTATCAATTCATTAATTGTCGTACGTCTGCAGTACGTCCTTTCATGGAAAGTGCGCGGTCTCCATCTTCGTGCGCGTAGTGCTGAGCCATCGTGCAACTCCTAACTGATTTAGGAGTCCTCTCCAACTCTCTTAAATAATTTGGGAGCTGAGACCTACTCTTATCACTTAAGAATGTTTATGCATGCCACCTATTCTTAAGTCTGGGAGTAGGAGCAAAATTACGTCTCTCTTAGAATTGTGAGGCATGCAAGAGTGAAATTTTACTCTGAGAAGTTTTATGCATACCGGCCCAGGTCTATAAGATTCGAACGCAGGGGTGGCCAATCTTACCCGCAAAGGGCCGGTGTGTATGCAGGTTTTTGGGATAACCTGTATAGGTCAGCTGTTCAAACCCAGGTGTGAGGACTCTTCAGTCAATCAGTCCTCTAATTAGTAATCTAATTAGGGAGTTGCAGCGAAAACCCGCATACACACCGGCCCTTTGCGGATAAGATTGGTCACGCCCTTTTCTAACGGGTCTGGATGCTGTTCAGCCAAATGGCTATTTCAATATTAATTTAAATACTAGAAGTCGTGGCCATAAATGGAAATTAGAGAAACAAAATTTACACAGCATGTAGTTAAAGTATGGAATAGTCTTCCTGCTAGTGTAGCGGAAGCTAAAACCCTGGGTTCCTTTAAATCAGTGCTAGATAAGATTTTAACTCTGAGCAATTAAGTTCTCCGCAAACGAGCTTGATGGGCCGAATGGCCTCCTCATTTGTAAATGTATGTTCTTATGAAATACACGTTTTCAGAAATCCCAGTTAGATACGCCATAGCGAGGCACAATTATTCACCAGCTGATGCCCCCAGTTCTTTCTAGTCTTTTAGATAAAATTTGCGGCGAATTACCTTCTGTATTTCTATTTCCCGATCCAGCAGTTTCTGACCGCTCAGTTTCATCGGAAAGTCAGTCTTGGGAAGCAGCACACTATCACGGTACTTCCTCTCGCCCTGATCGCCCGAATGCTGAGCCGTGTCTCCCGAGGAGCCAGCACTTTGACTTCGACATACCTGTACGTGGAGGCCGGGATGAAAGATACTTCTTTGAGTACCATGGCCCCATTTTCGTACAATAAAGCTAACTACCCCGAACCTGCTCAGCAGCATGGAGACGTGACCGTTCTCCCCAGGAGATCAATATGACCCAGTACAACGCGCGGATGAGGTTTGAGTATTATTTTATCCCCCAGAGTTCTTACGGAAGATTTAAAGAGACGGACCGCTACGGTGCGCAGCGAGGGTCTAAATAGATAATGAACGAAATGCCCCTTCACGTCAACCTATTGGGATCAAAGCCAATTGACAAACTAATCATAGTTAAATTACCATTTCAATTAAACGGACCTCCTATAATCATGCATGTGTCACTAATGCTAATGTGAAACAGCTGGATGAGTCTTTGGGTCAAGGAAACAAACCAGTCAAAGCACAAGAAGAGCTGAACTATTTAGCCGAGCACAGGAGCCTTTCAATTTGAAAGTAGTTTGTAAAACCCGAAGTAGCTCAAAGTGTCCTCCCTGACATGGAGTTACTTGTTGATGACGATTAGTAGCCTATTTTTACTATGCGCAGGGGGTGGGGCGTCCAAGAACCGTGTATTATAAAAAAAAACAACTGTCATGCTATGTTTAAAGCTCATCAAGCACGACAGCAAAGCTTGATAAGTTATAATCACCAATCCAGCTGCATTTCACGAGGTTTGGGGACGTTCTTCTTTCATTATTCTTTGAAACAACACATTGCATGTCTGCTATGGATAAGAGTTTCATATGCTAAACTCTAATTTATGCATTTGTTTCATGAACGCTTTATCATATTGCTGGTTTACTTGGAATACTAGGTTCATAAAGAGTGAGTATAAGACCAAGCAGCAAGCTGTTAGTGTATCTAGCTTGTCGCCGCAAGTCTGTCCTGCATTTTCTATATTCCTCGCCACTTTTGACCACACTGTGACAAGTCACTGCAAGGCTGGCTCGGGTTGAAAGGCGGGTAGAAGAAGCCCTGGCACCTGGCACGGCACTGCAGACAGCGAGAGCCCCCGAATCAGGCAGGGAGGGGCGCGAGGGTCTGGAAGAGGAGGGGGTGGGAAGATTAACATCTCAGGGCGGGGAGAGCAGTGTTGGGATGAGGGGAGTGCCTGCTGGTACCGCCACCCATCCCGCGGGGCTCATCCCCAACAGCTGCAGGTGCTGCCTGCGGTGCAGCAATGTGGAGGGATAGCCAAGTGAGCTGGATGAGACCCAGGAAATCTACGGCCGCGGCGGGGAGGGCCTGCGCTGCCGAAGACTGGGTCATGGGGGCCACCAGAGGGAGGAGCCAGAGGCTATGTGCGTCTGCAGGGCTTCAGGTTCTGCATGCGGCTCCGGTGGATGCAGTCACCCCAACCTGTGCGAGCTGAGAAAAGCTGCCAGCCAGAGAGACACAATCCTACGGCTGACTGGACAGGGGCTGTGCGATTCTGGTAAAGGGGCCTTTATAACACGAGAAAGTAAATTTGGAATAAAGTGATGGCACAGTGTGACACTATGGCTATCCTCTGTGCTGTTCATCATTTACAGTGGACAGTGTATGGCTCAGTGGGGTTTGGGTTCCATATCCAGAAGGTTGTGGGTTCATATCCCATGTCTGGTAATGTCATACAGAGTAATAATTTTAAGGTGGGGCCCTTCAGCAAAGCCCTTTAACCCCAGGTGTTGCAGGGACCCTGCTCTCTGACCCCAAGCTCTCCCCACTTGTATTTTACTTGGGACAATACTGTCTACTAAATAAATAACCATAATTTGTCACAATAATCATGAGCAATTGTGCATTTTACTGCCTGTACTCCCTTCAGCCCCACACATCTTCCACTGAGGGACCTGAAGAACTATACAGGAAATGACATCATATTTAGCTGCAAAGTGTCTGCCTTCCCTCTGCCTCACCTGAGCTGGAGGAAGAAGGGCATCAGCAACCACCTCCCTGGGGACAATCCCCACATCTCCGTCCTAGTCTAATGACATCACTGTGACTTTGATCGGCTCGCATTTTAGAAGAGTCTCTTTTGCCACCATAAAGAGAAGCGTTCATGTAAACCACATCATGTTTAAGTGACATAGGTCTTATACAGAAGTAAAGTGTGAAACAAAAAGGGCCATCCACTCAGGCATATAAAATCTGCAGTATATCTTTATTCAGCCTTACATCATGTGTACAATACCCTATAACATACTGGATATCATATAAACATGTTAGATATAAAATCCAGTGTCTGCTTATTGAAATATTAAGTCTATCCACAACTGTAGCTAAAAACCAAGTCAGACCAAACCTCAAGCAATACAGATTAAAACTGCGGCACAGTAAGTATACTGCAGTGTTATATATAGTGAGCAGCTGTTTACAATCATTGTGTATTAAAAGAGGTATTGAATCTCTATTAACATCCATTCAGGGCATGAGAGTAAATTCTAAACAGAGTTCTTCTGTCATGGCCAGACTCCCCGTTTCGCGCCCCCAGGCACGTGGGGGACCACAGAGGTACACAGTGTCCACATGGCAGCAGATCCAGGGTCTCCTGCACCTCCCGTAACGAGCTGGGGGAGACGTCAGCCTCAGCTTGCCCTACTGTGCTCAGACAGGGTGAGCAGAACTGAGCCATGGTGATGAGGTCATTTCATCAGCAGCCCCCCGGATAGGCTGAGCCAGATATATACGGTCAATCACTCAGCCAATCACGATCCAGCCCATCTGGCCCAGGTGTCAATGTATGTAAATCCATATATGGCAGTAATTCATTTAGACTTTTACTGATTTTTCCTCTTCTGTCACCTCAATATGTTTATCAGCATTGTGGGTGAGTGGCACTTAACTGGAGGAGGATGATTATTACTATGACAACATGGAGGACACTGGAGATGATGAAGAGGCGGACTTAGGAGACTACCCGGGAAACCAGCGTGGGGAAATACGCTCCAATTTGTGGGGAGTGACTGCTGAAGAGTTAGGAGTCAGCCGAGATAGAGGCCAATAAGATATTTAGCTTGAGGTGTTAACCTATACCTAATGTAGCGTTTCTGTGTAGTGGAGACTATATCATTAAAAACATAATGTTTTCTAAGCAGCCATTTCTTTTTTGCTTAAAAACCTGTCTTAATACGTTTGGCGTACTTTTTTGGTGGACAGGTACCCATAATTCATCCGAATGGTGTTGTATACATACGCTTAATCTCACTTTATCAGCGCAAAGGTGAAATGCAATAAAAAATAGTTACACATGACCATCGCTAGATGGCAGATAAAAGAATTACGTTTCCTAAATCACCGCTACTCGCTCTCTATGGTACACATCCCTGTATTCTTCCCGTTACCCTAAACGTTTAAGTACTGATCTGCGATCGGTCTCCAGTCCTCCGCCTCGCCGCACAAAGTATTGATCTGATCTGATCCCGGAACAGTTGGCGGAGGCGGAAGTGTTTTTTCCGACGCTGATCCAGCTTGGGTGTGTGTGTGTGTGTACTGTGTACAGCTGTTTTCTTTCACATCGACAGCACACGTGTGTGTGTTTGTGTGAGAGATACACACCGCGCGATCTAGGTACAACCTCTCTTTTATTCATCTTTCTAATTTAACTAGCCGCCTAAGGTTTGGCATCTGGAGCTGTGCTCTGCGGTAGTGGTTAGACTAATGTATTTCTGGTTAAGTGCATGATCATTATTAACGTAATAAATTTAGCTACACAAAAATGACAATTATGCACGACTGGATTGTACGTCCCCGCGTCCAATACTAGATTTACTTACTTGCCTGTCGGGTTTTCTTTTCAAATGGCGGACGGTTCATTACCATACTGCAGATAAGGATGCAGGAGGGGAATAACCTTATTGTGGACTGCCCGTTGCGGACCTTTCGGGTGTTACGGGTTTGTCAGAAATGTTTCCTGTAGCTTTACTTGTCTTTGCTTCTCCCACCCCCACCAGGTGGTCAGCATGGCGTCCGCTCCTGCCCAGCAGCCCATCCTAACTGTGGAACAGGCTAGAGGTAATAGGCATGACTGCGAGGGCGACCCGTCTCACACATGATTTCAGTATCTCCTCTTGTCCTTCCCAGAGTATATAATCTTTATTATATTTGGGCTTTAGTGATCTCTTTTCCTGTTTAACTATTGCGATGAAGTGGAACTCCCATACATGTTGCATATGGAGCCTGTGATCACCTACATTGCCAGACCTGACATTTGGCCATGGCCTCTGGGTTTTAGTGGTGCTGAGTGAGGTGATCCAGGCCTTCTCTCTTCCTGAGAACGCTGCCCGGATGGAGGAGGCCCGGGAGAGTGCCTGCAACGACATGGGCAAGATGCTGCAGCTGGTGCTTCCTGTGGCTACGCAGATCCAGCAGGAGGTGATCAAGGCCTATGGATTCAACAATGAGGGCGAGGGTAAGGATCTCCGCACGGGGTCCTGACAAGGCTTCAGTTAGCCCCGAATTCTGCCAGTCATGTAGCTCGTAGACAGTGTTACTGAAAGCTGACAGGAAATGCCAGAAGAGTAAATAAAAGATTTTGCTAAAGTAAAACCCAGAAAAAGAAGAGCATGCTGATAGGTACAAGCCAGGAAGTACCCATAACTTGTCAAACATTTCTGCAATTTTTAGGTGTCCTTAAATTTGCCCGACTGGTCAAGATGTATGAAACCCAAGACCCGGAGATCGCTGCAATGTCCGTCAAACTAAAGTCCCTCCTGTTGCCTCCGTTGTCAGTCCCACCCATTGGAGGTGGAGTCACAGCATCATAGACCCACAGTTAAATTCCTTCTAGTTAGTGACCTCAAAGATGTGGCTTTATGAGCCATTTGCTGTATTTTTCAACTCCACCAGAAGGTGCTGTCATTAAAAAAATAGGGCTCAGAGATTTCCCAAAGCAAGCCAAGAGCACCATCTAGAGGCGTCATAAAGTACTGCAAATGGTTCATGAGGCTTCCTTCCGCCCATCACTAATAGTAGTATTGCATGTATTTTGTAACTTTTGTGTTTGAAAATTTTCATTCCAGAGTCTGTTTTCCCTTCAGGTTTTTATTTTAACTTAATTTGATTTTAAATGCTTTGACGTTTATTTATTAGGAGCTGAAACAGTATTTCAAGCGCGAAATGATGCTGAAATGCTTTAACACACCATTGATATTTCTTGATCCTGGTTCTTTGGGGGGGGGGGGTGTTAAAACACTACACAGCATGAACTGTCCCTGCACCTACAGGGAGGGCGGATCAGGCTGCACATTCCCTTACTTTGATTGGGACCCAGCACTGTTCGGAAGCCATTGCTTGTTACACATCCCTTAGCTGCTGAGTTCATGCCAAGACTCAAAACCTTACACAATGGCGTCTGATTCCAAAGGCGATTAAGTTAGCCATGTGCATTTTTGTTTTTAAACGTGATTTTAAAATACATTTTGCAGTTTTGTATTGGACCCACCATTTCAACATTTTGTTAATGAATAAATATCAAATAAACGGAAAAATACATTGTTCTGTGTAATGTCATACATAAAAGTAGAGCCAGTCCAGACTGGCTTGGTATTTGCAATGTCTGGTTAATTAGGGATGAGTAAGTGGGTGATCGCTGAGATGTCCTGTAACTTAGAAGATCGTCCAGGATGAATGAAGACCGCAGTTGCCAATAAGGATCAGTTCATCGCCATGACCTGGCTGAGTAATACATCAACATCCACCACCAGCTAGCAGATGATAGATGGCTTGGTAGGTGACCAGGGGGTCGGTGTCCAAAAGTCATCTGCATGTAATGGAGCTCCCCCTGCAGGCCGACGATGCCACCACCATGATCTACACTACCCTGCCGCAAGGAATTCTGGGAAACATCACGAGATGTTAGGGCACATTAATCAATGGGGACTTCTTCAGTCAGTGACATACTGGCACATGCTTACAAAACAACCATTATGAAATACCAGTAGTGCAGCTGAGGCTGTCTGCAGCCTGGCTACTTTCTCACATCTCCAGGAATCATTGGGGACACAACGGTCTCAGCTGACAACTTTTATTATTTTACAGTAAGTCTTTGGCTACAGACTCCACACCAAAAACAGCATTTAGGCACAATTTTAGTATAAAACACTTTCAGGCCTACATGAGGACCTCCACTGATAGAACACTGATTTGAGATCTGTGGAGTGACACTACCTCTGGTCATTCTGCAGAACCGTTAAAAAGCTTGCTTGGGCGACGGCAGCCCGTGGCCACCAGTGTCTGTACAAAGTGCGTGTGAAAGTGCATGTTTATTTACAGGGTGCCCCGCGATTACATTAGGTTTGCTATAGATGGCAGATGGGGGAACTGCAACAGAGAGATGGCAGCCAATCAGGACGAAGCGCTAACCGCTAAAGACACGCGCCTTCAAAAGAGCCACATTCTCCGAAAAATGGTCACAAGCCTCTGAAAGAAGAAAACCATGATTATTGTAGACTGATTCTGCACACTTTCTTACCCTTGAACCAGTTAAAAATACTACATGAGAACGCTCTCTAAATTTGAAGGGGAAATGCGATATTTCCTCATTTTTGCAACCCCCTACTACACACAGTTTGCAAATATAAACCAATGAGCACAACACTGAGTAAAGGTGAAGAGGAAACATTCCATGGATTATAAACCCAGCGTCTGCCATCATCAGTGTTTACTATGGCATTAATTTGACTATCAGAGGGAAAGGCAACAGCGTGGTGACCAAGTCTGTAAGGCTGCTGTTTGAGGTAGGGATATTTCAGTTGTACAAGGACAAAACTCCACCCCCCACCAAGGCATTATACAAATAAGGAGAGTTATGTAAAATTGAGCTTCAAGGCATGAGCGATGCAAACTGCCACGTGCTTAATGACATTGAGTTTGAATATCGCAGCATCCTTTTTGCGTTTGTACGTTTTTCCAGTTACTAAAAACACAGAGGGCAGCTTTTTCCTGCAAGTGTTGTTTTCCTTCTTCCAGAAATGCTGCAGGAATTTTGAGCCTGAAACTATTAGGCTCAAATTTCCAAACCACTAGTGACTGGTAGACACTCAGCCAGGCCGAGCTTTCGGGGCCGGTACGGTTTCGCCAAGGTGGCTCTAGGGCAGCACTGCTTCAGGTTGTTCTATCGAGCCTGAAGCAATTCTTCCTCAAGAGACAATAAATCAGGACACTTTGCCATGTTGAATATCCTCGAACAAGAGGGCCAGCATCACATCTCAAAGTGGCGGTAAATGCTCTCCACGTATCCCAGAACCCCCTGCCAGTCCGGGCCTCCCACCTTCAGCATCTCCTCCACTGTCTAATTTGAGGGGGGGGGGGGATGTTCAATAAGTAAAACAAATAGAAACAAATGGTAGGATTTAGTCAGGACGTGTCACAATCCATGCAGGTTTTTCTACAACTGATACATTGCTTACTTAATTATAAGAGGATAGAAGAAGCACTTAGTGTCACTTGTCAACAGCTTAAGTGGTTCAGAGAACAGGAACATATACACTGGGCTGGCAGGGTGAGACATCCTGCAATCAATGACCTTTTCATTTTTAATGCAATGTATCTTTTGATACCTGCGTCCCTGACCGTACTGCTGAAGCTCGAACGGATCTCACCAAAGAAGCCTGGATTCCCACACTCTCCCCTGTTCGGAAAGCCAGGTCCAGATTCTCCCTCTGCAAAAACAAAGACGCACCTTCACGCTCATGCCATTGCGCCCCCTGGGGGCAGCCCCCGGTACTGGTGCATACGGACACTCCGCTCTCACCTTGCTCTCCGGATTCAGGCTGTGGTACGGGATGTGAGATGGCAGGTAGGTGTGGAACACGGCGCACAGTGCCATTCCATCCGCCCAGCTGCTGCTGAAGTTGGTGATGTCGATGTTCTGTGTGGAAAGGCAGAAGATCACTAAGCTCCGTTGACACGACTGCAAAACAGATGTACTGAATGCCTAGAACCTGTGCGCTCCACCTCCTGAAACATGTGACATCTTCCTAACGTCATCCTGCAAGTTTCAGCCGTGCCACCCCCCCTCAAACCTAAATCCCAATTACCTTATACCCCAGTGTGCGGCTTTGACACCAACGGAGGAGGGAGTTCCTCTTTGAGCCCCCGTGTCGACGTAACAGCATGCTGAGTCCATCCTGCTGCCTAGACGGACAAGTGTGTTGATGGGGAATGAAAAGAGGCAACACTAGAGCGCCATATCGCTCATCAGAGGTGGAAAGTTCAGGTCCAGAGAATACAAATCCAGACCAAGATTTCGTTTTAACCAACCAGTTGAGTACAAAGACATTCACAAAGTAGTCAACTGGATGGTTAAAACGAAATCTTGGTCTGGATTTGTATTCTCTGGACCTGAACTTTGCACCTCTGTCACACATTTACTGAATCGCTGCTACTGCACTAAAAGCCACACTGAGGCTGTATAGTGCACCACTAAGAGCTCATTATAATACCTGCTTGCACTGGAAATGTTCCTCGTTAGACATGAATGCCAGCGATGCTGTTTGCTAGAACGTTCTGAAGGAAACTCCAGCGTAGGTCAAATACTCACTTGACTTTAGTGCCCGCTGTCAGGGGGAGGTCACTGGGGATGGTGTTTTGATGGTTGGCAGTCACTTCCTGTTTACCTGTCATGTGTGCACACACAAACGTACAAACCTGGTACCATCTCCCAAGAGAACCTAAAGCCCAGACCTTCAGAGAACAGCATTTAGTACATCGGCCAATGTGCTCATTGGCTGAGGGACCCAGGGTGACCTCATCCAGCTGCTTTGCAGACAAACCACCTGGTGGCTCTCTCTCCACCTACCACATCCCGGCCCACCTGTACCTGCACCAGTCCAGCTAGCCTGTTGCTCCAGAACCTGCTCCACCCTCTTTCCTTGGCCCGTGTGCTGGTTCTGGAAAAACCAAGTGAGAGGAAGTGTAACTAACACCGAGCCCATAATTATATTCATCACGAACGGAGTCAGACACCCTCTCGACAACTGTCTTGCTTCTTGCAGAGTCCGTGATTAATTACAGCAATTTCAATATGCATGTAAAAATTTATGCCACTAGTGGCGGTGACCCAATAAGTTGAAGCTCAGGCGATTTAATCATTTACGGGGTAATGCGCAGCGCTCATTAAAACGATTGCCCTTATATGGCGCTTGTGCTCGGATTTATTGCCGGAGATCCTCCGTGAATTTTGCCTGAAGATGAAGTCAGAAACAGGACATTTTGCTTAGCAGCAACACATTAACAAGGGCAGTCCATTGTAACCTATGGGGATCTGGCGTGAACGGGGTTCCCCATCATGTGCTTTGTCGCCCCCTGCTGGAATCACTGTGGATTAATAAAAGCTTAAGGGCACTTCCGGCACCCACGTTCAGCGGCCTCTTCCTTTCCTCCTTCTATGACACTTTTCATACTTGACTTTCAGGCAGCAGTTAGTTTAATATGTTTATGCATGTGGGTCTAGCATGTTAACGACCTTAAAACTTATGAAAGTAAAAAAAGCGTGATAACCTTTATGTATTACAGGCTACATGAGTCTTTTACGATGTTGGATTTATATTAACATTCTTACATTTTAATTAATTAAAAGCAAGAAAAATGTGACAAAACAGGGTCAGCCAGTCCCTGGGGGTTATGGGCCCCTGTTCAAGGGCCCAATGGTGACATCACTCTACTGACCCTGGGATTTGACCCGATGACCTTCCGATCACAAGCACAGCATCCTTACCCACTGAGCCACACACCGCACACTTCTACAGTGTGTTGCATCCATAAATAGAAAGTTATCATCCATACCAAATGTGTGTGCAAACATTTAAAAAAAGACCTTGGATCTTGTTACCGTAGCTGGGTGGAAGAAATTGCTATTCTACATCCGGAAAAAATAGGATTTGACAGCAAAAAAAAACAAAAAAAAACACACACAGCAGGGTAATATAATCTGAGCCGGCTAGCCGAGTAAATATTCGAAATATTACGCAAGTACACAAAAAATGCGCCGAACAGTCCCACTGAAAATCATCAAAGCATGCTGCACATTCTTACCCCCTTACAAAAGCACCATTACCGGCTTCCAGACCGAGTCACGACTCTGATGTACAGCTTTTTAATTCCTCACTGGGCTGAGCTATTTGTACTTGTCCTTAAACTAACAATTTATTATGCTCCAAACTCACTATGCAGATTCCATGGGTTTTAATGCATATGAAAGGATCATCACAATGTGTTGTGTCATTTTAATATTGGGGGGGGGGCAGCAGGACTGCATCCACATTATATCACTCATAGAAGACCGATTTGCTTTTTTGTTTTGGCATTTTCCAATTTTTTAATTTGGTCATGTTGAAACGTCTTTGCGGGCAAAGTGGCCCAGTGTCCCCCGACACCGACACCAGTGACACGGCTCAGTGCTGCAGGACACGTAAGCAGCAGTGCAGCATATTTGAGGAATTATTTTCAGGCTCACTAATGCCACCAGTACTGCTGAGAAACTTTACCTTGCTAAGAGGCCCCATCGTCGTGGCAACTGGTTGGGAGTTACCATTGATGGCAAAGGGGGAGTCGGATGACAGGGGAAGTCTGGACAGACTCCTGCAGAATAATAGAATGTGCTTAAAATTAGCACAACGTGTACAAAGCCCTTTGACACCAGACTCTGCCAAAGTCAGCATTCATAATGTCTGAGTGTTGCTTTCTTTTTTCTTTTCTTAAATCTGTCTGAGTCACCAATTATGGCAGCGTGGTGTCATGTTTACCTGGACCTCTCTGTCGCCGCTCCCATCTTGCGTGGCTCCCTCCCTGCACGGCTCTCCTCCTTCCTTTTGCTCTCCGCTGCCACGCTCCGCAGGTACTCCTCTGCCACTCCCTTCCCCCCAACAGCCACCTCCTCCCGCTTGGTCACTTTCAGCAGGACCCGCCCCCTGTCCGTCCCCTGGCTCTCGCTCCCGGGACCGTCTGTCTCTGTGGTGCACTCCCCTCCCCGCCACCTCCCTGGCACTGCACTCTCCTCCTGGGCCCCTGTCTCTGGGCTCTCCCTGGCCAGAGAGGAGAGCCTGTTGCAGGCCTCCTGGTACTGAATCCTCAGGCTCTCCAGCTCCGCGTCAGTGTCCTCCTGCCTTCGTCGCGCCAAGGCCAGCTGCTGCTCCGCATCCCGGTGGGCCCCCCGCAGAGAGCCGAGCTCCTCTTCCGCCTCCACGCGCAGCCGGTCGGCGACCGCTACTGCCACCTGCAGGTCGGCCTGGAATTGCAGCCACTCCCCGCGTTCCGTCTGCAAGTGGACGAGTTAAACTGTCAATAATGGAGGTCAATTGTTCATGGCAAAGGTCAGAGGTGAAAAGATCACATACTATATACACACACACTTATCAAAACAAGGTTCAGTGAAGGTATAAAAACCCAAAAAAATATTGCTTGTAAAACATTAACTTTTTCGAGTAAAAAATGGCAAATCTGCAGTTACTGGCCCAGAATTTGTGCTGTTGTACCTCTCAGTGAATTAAGTTAAACGGTTCCAGTAAAATGACTGAATAACCGTATAAAAACAGATCCTTTCGGTACCCCATTACGAGACACAGCATGACGCTACGTGCCAGAGGCTACGGGTGTGGATGAGCGTCCTCAAATCAGGGCTTTTCACCCACCACAAATTAACCAGATGTAGTTAGAGAGATTATCAGTTTGGCTACGGCCCAAAGTGCCGGTTTGGAAACGAAAACAGTCCGGAGCAATTCATAGGACAGGAAGAGCAGCTGTAAACAGATTCCTGGGATGGGGACAGCAAGGGCCACAACGAGGTCAAAGATGGTGAGCAAGCAACGCCCTTCGGAATGACTAATCTACGCTCCTCTAGTTCAAACAGTACGTTCATTATTATCAGCATGCAGCGTGTGACTAATGTTCTGCCATTAGTCACTGAAATAGCCGGTCGGCCAAGAACAAAATTAATGCGTCTCACAAATACAATAAGCAAAAAGTGTCTTTTGGGTGCAGCTTGACTGAGTCCAGGACAAAACCTGAGAAATCTCTGTGCTCAGATTCCAACCACCAAACACCAACTCTGGAGCTGTCAAAACGTACCAGCAACCCGATCTGGGTCCCGACACGGAGAATTACACTCCATCAGAGCGTCCCAGTTCCCACCGGTCCTCTCGTCTTCATCACACACCTGAACTCACTTCTAAGACCAACAGGCTGAAACAAATTGAGGCCGGCCCTATTCAGTGGCACACACCTCAGAAAGCGTGATTCCCTGCCACAAGAGGGCGACACGCTCGGCGGACCGTGAATTTGATGCCGAACCATTAAGAACTGCACCCACATTTACTGACGATACGGCCCGGTGGGCTCACTGCGGGGTTGCCAGCTGTCACGTCTCTGGCGTGACACTCACACTTTCTGACTCTCACGCTCACGCAAGAAATCTTACAGCAAATCTATATTATTCCATTATACAGCATAAAATTAGCTACATCAAAAGTGTTGGGGTAGTTTGCAAACCCTACAGACTATTTACAAGGTAATAAAACCGTTACATACATGTAAATGTGTGTGCAGACTCACCTCGACCTGAAAATCTCATGCCAGCAAGTTGGCAACCCTGTCAATGCCAGCTTCAGGTCCCCGTGAACTGGATCAAACCTGCTCAGGCCGCCTCATTCCAATCCTGGCGAATCGGTGAAGGATCCAAGCGGACCGTGCTCCTGTTCGCCTGAGCCAAACCCTGCCAGCTTAGGCCAACAGCAAAAAGAAACCCAGCACCAACCAGACCGATGTGAAAATGTGCGCTGCAACACACCAGTACGACAAGCAGTGACAGCTGACATACAGCCCAATCAGAGAGCCGTCTACCGAAGAGCCGTGACACAGATTCAACACGGTAAAACGGTGCCGACGGGGCCCAACCGTGTCAGGCTGCACCGCATGCTGCACCGCATGCTGCACCGCATGCTGCACACACTGGCACCCAGTCCCAGTGACAGCTTCCTGCAGAGTGGCATGTTCCGGGCACAACACTACACCACACAGAGAGCACGTGGGGGGCAGAAACACCTCCAGATGGCCAGATGTGAAAGCGGGAGTCCGACCAGCGGGGACTGGATGGCAGCTGGGGGTAGGGTATGGGATACGGTGGTTGTGGGGGGGGGGGCTGTGGTTAGAAGCATGGTGAGATGGCGGGGGGTAGTAAGGAGGTCAGGAGCTGGACGGGGAGCCCCTACTCCACAGCTGGGGGCGATTACAACACCCCCCACACAGGGCAACATATGGATGCATTTAATAACAACTACCTGTAGTTTAATAACACAGAGCTACATGTAGAATTGACTTCGACACAGTCATGCGGCGTAGCGAGAATAAAGTCCAAGCTCCAGGAGGGCAAGACACTCCCTCCCCAGGACGACACAAAGATGGGGGGGCAGGAAGTGAGGCGCTGATTGTCGGACATCCAAGGCCGGGAATAAAAATGACCTGACTCATAGGGCTGAGGAATGAGCGCGCACAGACACACACACACACACACACACACACACACACACACACACACGATTTCCAGCAGTGGGCCTGGGATTAATCCAAAGCCTGCCCGTACACCAGATGTGTGCGGAGGCCCCGATCACCCCCACACCCCTGTTCCCATCCCAGCCAGGCGCCCGCTTGACCAGGGAGGGGCGTGTGAACACGGAACCAAGCCAACGCCCAGTAACATACCGGGGATGAAGAACCGGATCGGGGTAATGTCACAGCCGGCCCCCGCGCGGAGCAGCTGGTGCGGGCGAGCCGGCCCCCGGGGTGTGGCCGGCTGAGGGGTCGTCACGGTAACGCATCCTCTGTTAACTGGAGCCTCGTTATCTAGGCAGGAAAAAAAAATCTGCCCCCTCCCAACCCAAAAGGAAACTAAATGGAGCTTCTGACTATCTGGCTAGAAGAAGATAGACAATGTTGGCACTAAATGGCAGGCAGGGTTATGGAAGCAGCCTTCAGACTATTAGGGGCCGCAGCGGTCAGCATCAGGAGCGCAGCGCGTGACCGGCCCGTCGCATTCCCAAACTGCCCAAACCGCGGACCTGCAGAGCTGCCGCAGAGCAACGACCCCATGCGATTATAAATAATCTGAAAATACAACTGCATGTCGAGCTCCGCCCGTACTCAGAACATTCCAGTTTTTCCATTCTGCAAGTCAGGCCCGTACAATAACTTCATACAAAAGCGTGTCCTAAATGCGCATCCTGTTCCCTGTGCCTCAGCAATGTACGGCACATCTCCAAGGCCTGAAGACGAGCCACTGGAGGCCGGGTCAGTAACCGGACCCGGTCACCCATGCCTTGGTCGGCCTCCCTCCCCCCCCAGCCGCCCACCCCCGTCTGCTTGATGCAAAGCAGCTGGGTGCGACTTCACATTTCAGGAAAAAAAAAGCATCGAGCGGTGCAATGGATGGAAGGAAATGCCCCCCCCCCCCCGGACGGAGAGAAAGCAAAAGTTGTGAGGTCATCATTTTAGACTCCGCATGGGGGCAAGGCTTGCAGATACACTGAAGGATATGGACTGGGGGGGGGGGGAGGGGGTAATGCTCACTGTCTGCTGAAAGTGTCTGTGTCCATTAAGTTCTCACAGCCACACACACAGCCACCCCCCACTCAGACTAACAGGCTCCCCCCCAAAGTGCCTCTTTCTTTTCTCTTTAAAACTGTGGAGCCGCCGACATGGACTCTGCCACGAGCGAGACTCTGCTCCACGTTCAGTTTGCCGGCGCGCGTGCACACACGCACACACACACACACACACACACACACACACAGGTTTGGGGCCTGGGGCATGGTGGTTGACAGGAAATTACAAGAAAAATTGTTTTAAAAAGGGGGAATTCATCTAAACCCCCCAAGGAATGCGGAATTGACCAACGCTCCGGGAAGTTTAACTCCTCGCAGTCATTTTCTCCCTCCTGTATCGCTAAACAGAAGAACCTTTGATGAAAAGACCCCAGTAACAAATCAGGAACATCTTCAGGCATTTCCGTTGGAAGGCTCTGTGGGACAGGAAGGCGGCCATTACGGCCCCCCAGCAGCACCGGCTCCCCTCTGCATGGGCAGATATGAAAGGCCGCTCTTTGTCTCTGTCATTTCCAGGTGGCCCCCACCGACCTCTTTCTCTACCTGAGGGCCAGCTCCTGTTTACCATCGGGTGTCCGTCTTACCGCCTGTCAATCCAGCGGTTTCTAAAAACAGGGTCATCCCCTAAAATGCAGAGTTGGGGTGTCTATTCATACCATCGGGGGCACCAGGACTTCAGAGGGTCTAGCTTACCTTCATCACCTCTTTCAGATACTGCACCTCATCTGCAAGCTTGTCTCGCTCCGCCAGGACACATCTGACTAGATCTGAGATGGAAAGAGATTATCCAAAAAAAATGCCACGAACTATGTCATCTTCATCAATCAAGTAAGTAAAACCTTCTCAAGGGCCCAGTGGTGAAATTACACCTCCAACCACTGGGATTTGAACCTATGACCTCCTGATCACAAGCATGGCATCCTAACCCACTGAGCCACACACTGCCCCATTATACTGCTGGAAAGCCGTGCAACGCCTACCTGCTGTGCTCAGAGGTCCATCCTGCCCATGACTCAACCCAAGAGTCATTCGGTACTGCTCCAGCAGGGTCTCTGAGGTGGGTGTGTCCCTGTTGCCACACCCCTCCCCCACCCTGCCTCTCTCCCCTGCAGATTGGTCCAGACCACTGTCCTCAGCTGTACTGGCAAGTACAGGCAAGAGTGCTGATTGGGTGAGAGCCGTCACTGGGCAGACCAGATGGGCCTCTCCACAATCCACCACACCGCCGCTGTCAGATTCAGTGCCTGCTGGGCTGATGACCGCCCACTCGTGGGCGGCGCTTTGGGAGGCATCACGAGCATGGGTGGGACCCCCCTGATGTGTCACCTTGGCGGCCTTCGGTGCCGTCTCACCCTGCTGTGCCGGAGTGGAGCTGAGAGGTGGGTGCGTCCCAAGGACAGTGGGAGTGAGTAGCGATGCAGGAGGGGTGTGAGGGGAGTCCAAATGGGCGCCTGCAGACAGACCTCCGACATGTCAACAGGTGACGCAGACGTACACAGGCGCCGATATCGAATCCAAAGACGCGAGATGCTTCGTTTCACCAGAAAAACATCCAAACCCCGAATAGCAGCCTGACTTATCGATATAGAGGGGATTCATTCCCGAACTTCCACTTCATTAATGTGCTTATTGAGGAGCCAGGGAATGAGGGGTGGGTGAAAATGCATTATCCTCACTCCCACTGACCAGAGCAGAAAGACATGCGGGGGAGGGGGGCAAACTGGCCATGTCCTCTGAAAATGGGGGAAGAAAAAAAAATTTATCCTCCCCCAGAGGAGCCTCACAGCTGTTGAGATGCCAGGACTCAGGAAAGGGGGGGGGCACAGGTTAGACACTGGACAATATGAGTGGGTGCAAGTGAGAGGCATACCAAATTTTTACAGCAGCTCTGCTGAATGCTCACACACACACGCGCACGCACGCACACACACACACACAGCGAAATGTCTCAGGCTGGCTTCAGAATTCAACGTGCTGGACTGCTCCTCCACACAAGACAGGCCTGGCTGTGAGAAGCAGGAAGATGAAATCCTGAAGAGTGCTTCTGCCTGAATACATCACAGCCTGGTGGTTACAGAGGTGCATTACCTGCAGATCCATGAACATCTTTGTTGCTGGAGTTTCCCATGATGCACTGGGGTTAATGCCACCCTCCTGTTTCAGGACTGTTGTCCTCCTGCAGCCCGTAAAGGCAGCCAGAGGGGGCGTGAACCTGTAACAAGCAGACTCTCAACAGCCATTGGGTGCATTAAGCACATACTTTCTGGGGTCAAAGGCTGCCCTTTATCATTAGCACATTTGCAGCTCTTCTAAATGAGTGCTCTGACCACAAGCCTCTAGATGGACGAGCTAAACTGTCTGCGTGGCAGAAGAACTCACACCAGCGAATCCGCTGCCTTTCAAACACATTACAGACCAACAACACCTGCACTGCACTGCTCTGCTCTATGTTTGTCTAAAGTCGATCTGGGGAAAAATGCTTGATAGCTGGGGTTGAACCTAAGAATTTTCGCTATTAGCCAACTTGGTTACTTCAGTTTAAAAAATATATAAATAAATAAAATAAATACATTAAGAAGGGAAACAGTTGTGTGTGTATTTTCTTACCGCAGTCTCACCTGCGATTGGACACAAGAGCAAAACTCAGGGCAGACACTGCTCCTCCCAGCATGAATTAAACTCTACATACCCAATTAACAAAAATTATACTCCGAACGAAAGCAGAAACGTTTCCTTCCGGCTGCACATTTTATCATAGGTTTCCGCCACACCAGCTTATAATTACAGGCTAATTAGACCCTTAAAACTAACGATGTCCGTGTCGCTCCTGTTCACCAGAGAGATGCGCTCATCTGCACAGCGATAAACAAGCTCTCTGCTGGGACTAAACGTAAACGACGTCTTGGAAATATTTCACTTAAAAAGAAAAAAAATACAAAAGTACCTTCTCTTTTAAGTTATTTACAGATAAAGATTTCGACTTTTGATTGGTGGGTCAATACCCTCATCAAAACCCGTAATGCCAAATTAGCTATGAAGCTACATGAAGAGATTTTAATTTAAACAGGACAAAGATATGTCCACTTTCAAAGCAATCAGTTTACACTTCAATAACTACACTGAGCAAATGTGTTACCTGTTCACCGTGGGCGAGATTAAAAGTTCAGATGACTGTATACGAGTCCGTGAATAAAGACCGCGGTTGGATAAAGTATGGGATAAACTCCGAATTAATAGAGAACCGGTTGAGTAAACTGGGTTAGTTTAGTGACTAACGATTACGTAGACTTTGGGTAAAGACAGATATGGAAACTTTTTTCCAAGGTGATGAAGCAGAACAGTCTAAAGGGCTTGTTGCGTTAATTGATCCTGACCATGTGTAGAAACATCCTGAATACGGTTTTGCTTTAGCACTAAGACGCCGATCATATTAATAGTGAAACGCCGAGGATTTTGCATAAGCGTGCGAAGTTTGTCCAGGGACTGCGCAGTGCAAAGCGTGACACGAATATCTATTAACCCTTAGTTACTAGGAAAAGGGCACATATTTACATGCACACACACGCGCCTTTACAACCAGCAACCGCGTCTGTCGTCCCAAAAGTGACCACATGTTAGAAGAAACACAGACACGCACCTTCACTTTGCCTTTCCGGACCTTTACGCTCCGCGGGATCAGTTACTGGATAATCGATGATTCTCCTGAAACCCCCTTTCAAGCCACTTCAGCGGACTGCAGGATGGAGTCGCCGGGGGTGGGAGCGAGCGGTTCGCCGCTGGGACAGGCGCACAACTACAAGCGGAGAACTTGTGAGAATTTTCGCTATTAGCCAACTTGGTTACTTCAGTTTAAAAAATATCTAAATAAATAAAATGTCGCCCTTCGTCTAAATTACTGACCTCAGGCGTGCAGTCGAGCTTAATTTCCAGCCCTGCTCGTAAGGACATTAAGAAGGGAAACAGTTGTGTGTGTATTTTCTTACCGCAGGCTCACCACCAGGAATGGAGGAGGAGGAGGAGGGAGCGACGCTCCTCATCAGACTGCTGATCCCGTCCCGGCTTCTCGGCCAACGCTCTGCTCCAAAATGTGGCTCACTTATCGGACAATGTCCTATCAAGAAGCCGGTGCAATGACATCACTGATATGCAAAGTGTTCATCGAAAAACAAAACAAAAAAAACCTTTTGACTACAAGTCGCTACATTCACGTGTTTACAGTAGACACTGTTCGCGTTGTGCAATGTGTGAGATTCTCGCCATAAAACCAAAATTATTGTCGATGGATGGATTAGCACTGAATACGCATGTAGCCTAATAATTGGTTCAGTCTCGGGCATCCGAATTTCAGTTGAGCTTTTCATTTGATTATGATGATTCAGTGATACTGAAACCAGGAAACTTCGTCCTACGCGAGCATCAGCGCCGGTGCCTGCTGTCCGAGGCAAAGTGAAATTGCCTGGCAAGTCGGCGCCCCCTCTAAAGGTGGCGCCCAAGGCGGCCGCCTATGTCGCCTATATGATTGCCCGGCCCTGAGGATTGCAATAACGATCCTCCTCTCCCCATTTGGCATACTGTTGTCTTGGTCCTTAACTGAACGTATTGCCCAATATGAGAGGTTGATGGGGAAGCTTCTCCTTGAATAGGTCTAACTGCGTCCTGCGCACTGGTGTAACAGAAACTGAGCTCTACCATTACAAAATCTGGCCGTTTTGCCCACCAGTCCACGGTTTGTTCTGCGCTCAAGTCTGATTTTGTGTACCTCATCTCTAATTATTTCATAGCCATGTTGAAACAGCCCAGCATGCACACCTGCCAAAGGAATCACTGGTGTAGACTTACAAGGAAGATCCCCAGGCAAAGCCGCCAAAGTTTGTTACAGATGATGAGCGAACCGAAGAGCCTGGGAATGGATAAAAAAAAATCTTTTATAGCACTAAAACACTTCTGAAAGTACAACGTCAACGGTAAAATTTTGTGAACTGGTGTTTACTAATAGCTAGAATACACCGATTCTGCCGTAGAGCACAGCTCAAATTAAACACTCCAACGCACACAGCCCTTAAAATGTAATTCATTTTAATTTGGCAAGTTACGGCAGTATTGACAGCACTGAAAGTACCTGGACACGACCAGTTTCCAACATACTGCGTTGCTCTTCGGTTTGTGATAAATCATGACGTGACTGCCTGTAAAGGTTCAAGATCTTCACAGCCCTGCCCCCTTGTGGCCATTTGAAATATTTGCGCGGAATGACGTTACAGGCTCTTTCTGTTAGGCTACGTGAAGTGCATCTCAGACATCGACGGTTAGTGTCATCTATACCCAAATGGTCTATTAGATACTGAGACTCCCGTGCCCCTCTGAACAACACATGCAGCTTTTATTTCAGTACGTTACTGGCTTCGCTGTATGTTTCTTGTTTATCCATTTATTAGTTTGTTATAACTGCGTCGTTAAATTGGCTGATGTCTTTGGTGCTCTTCGGACTAAGCAGTTGCCTTTGGGGGCAGTAGGTGGCAAGATTGGACCGTAATTATGACTTATGTCATTGTAATTATTTCCAGGATCTTTTGTATTTGTATTTTTAACACCTATGTAGCTTGTGCTGTCAATTAAGGTTCTACCAGTAGGCCTAGATCAAGTATTGAAGTTTAGAGTTGGGTTACCACTGGTGGTATGGTGGTGCAGTGGTTAGCGCTGATGCTGCACACCTCCAGGACCAGGATTCCATGTGTGTGTGTGTGTTCTCCCTGTGTCGTTGTGGTGTTTCCTCCAGGTACTCCAATTTTATTCCTATTTCCAGTATTGCGGAGCCCAGTAAGTGCGCTGAACATGCTGGCAGATGTAAATGTTGTTGTTAGTGTTAATACTTGTGTTATATTTCCTTAGTGTCGCGTAGACCTTCAGCAGTGCTGTATGTGTGATCCTGACGTGTCCATTTGAGCCTTCCTGTTTAGTGTGTGACCTCCCCGCGCTTGCGTGCCGTGTTCGCGTCTTGCTGCACTTGTTGTGGTTCTTTTACGAATTAAATTGAAAACCACGTTCGTGTCAGTCCAGTCTACTCGTCTTTATTCGCCGCTGCGGTCGCGATACTTTGGTCTGCCCGTCGCCACAGTATGAGGTTTCAGGCATCCTTAACATTTTTCCTTGGACGTTTTTACGTGGTATACCAGAATCACTAGCATCATTTCCATTCGGGATTTATGCAGCCAAAGAACAACATAGTATGAACTATGTTTGCCTATTTCAATCGTAAAAACACATATTTCGGTGCCTTCACTGGATAGTGGACAGGGAAAGGTACATAATTGACCTTTGAACACAATTATCAGCACTGGTTTGCATCGATTAAAAGAGTTGGGGTTTTCAACAAGTTACACAAGAAGGTCACTGTTTAAATCGCATATGATGCGACTTCATTTACATTGTGGTAAAGCTCCATCGTTGTCATTCATTACACTGGTTTATGGAGAGCCAAAACGTGAGCGTGTCCCCCCCGGCCACGCCAACGCATTGTGCGATGGAGAATTATGGGGAGTGGCCCTCGGCCAGCACGCCGTCCGCCACCGAACGGTGTTTTACGATCAGACTTTAATTACCTGATGTGAAGCCTGAATAGAATGACGGAGAAGCTTCAGCTCCAATGATTAAACGGAGAAACGGTGCTGCTCTGAGTGCTCCAGAGTGGATCCGAACGACCTTCATTCAGACTCCCTCCATTCAATCGGTCAGCTGTGTCCTTGACTAACAATTAATTTCGTCGTTCTTTAACGACCGTAGGAAATGAGGGGAAATCTATAACGGGCTTGGTGCCCATGCTTTACCCTTTGCTCATGAGTGAGTGATGGAGGTCCCGAAGCATTGGTGTGATGCAGAAATACCCCGACACTTATATATAAATCAGGATTGACTGGTGGTTCCCAAATGCTGGCACAAGTAAAAATGTTACCTGGTATGAAGCACGATCGAGTTTGTACGCTCAAGTACTAGCGCATGAATATTGTATAGCCTACATCTTGTATATATTACTTAATATATTTGATTGTATCGGGTTAGAAATCACTAACACGGACATCCCACCTTGCTGTGATTTCAGGGAGACAGATGAGGGACAATCGGGAGGGGGAGGTGCTGTCTAGACTTCGGTTGTATTACGGTAATCGCCCCACCCGGCTTGGTACATTTTATTGGGAAATACTAGCCTATAATACCATTGCTTTTGAAATACAGTACCGTCAAAATACCGTATACCGCAGTATAATGCTGTACAGTATGACGGTATTAAAAAGGTGCCAGCAGTACAATTTGCCTACCTGGGCTAAATGCTGGCAATTAAATTTGCCCACCGTGTGGGGCGGGACTGTGACGGTGAAACTGCTTGTGGAATAACTGAGAGAGACATTTCCGGGACTTTGCGCGTCATTTGCGGATGTCAAGAAGCTGCAGTTGTGCAGTGATGGAAGAGGACAAGAATGAGACAGTTGATTAAGAGATGGATTAGTGCAGGAGAGTGGTGGAGAATAAGATAAAACTAGAAATGGGTGTGTTGGAGGTGTAGGACAATGGGAAAGAGCACGAGAACGTGAGCTAGGAGACACAGCAGGGTTAGAAGATGGAAAAGTGCAAGGGACCATATTGAAGGAGGGAGAGAATATAGAAAAGTTAGTGGAAATGGAGAAGAAAACAGTGGCAGAAGAGAAGGAGAACGAGGTTGAAGGAGTGAAGGCAATAAAGAGAGGAATTACAAAGAAAGTGGAGGTTATGAAGCATAATATTAAGACAGTGGAAAAGATGGATGGATGGATGGAAGAGGCAGTGGAGGAGATGCAGGCTGAGATCAAGGCAGTGCTGGAGGAGAAGGAAGCCCAGTTCAAGGCAAAAGTGGGGAAGGAAGTTGATGTGAAGTGAGTAGAGGAGATGGAGGGCGAGACTGAGGCAGTAGTGGAGAATGTGGAGGTGGAGAAAATGAATTTAGAAACGTGAATGAAAGAGATAACTGCTCTGACCGCAGCTCCTGCAGCCTGGACCTGGAGGACAGGTGGGAAATGACAGGATGGATAAAAGACAGGGTGAGATTAATGGAATACAGACAGGTGGATGAAAATGAATTTTGGTACCATTCCTACTTGTCCTGCCGAACGGCGCACGGAGCGCAGTAAAATCGCAGGAAGCCAGAAGTTTGGGGGAAACACGGAGTTTAATGGACGCAGCAACACAAGGCGTAAGCAAACACTCGGACTGACATAACAATGACCGGACTGGGGAAACAAACTTAAACGCGGACTAAATACACTGAACTAATGACAGTAACCGGAAACAGCTGACGAACACATCCACATGGGGTTAATGAGGGGGCGTGGCACACGAGAAGAGCGGACGATCGGGGCATGACACTACTAGTCCTCACTATGATTCAAGTTACTTAGAAATATCACCAACTACAGAAGGGGTAGAGATGAAAGGATTGGGAGAAGACTGGGAAAAATTAGAAGAGAAACAACCAGTAACAGGATGCCAGTAACATGTA